TCTTGGGGGTAGGTCGTCCAGGGTTGCTCCGGTTCGGAAACGCAGCAACCTTGGAGCTGAGAAAGGTTATCGGCGAAGAACGAGTCCGTCGACGGTGGAGATAGACGAAAGGTCTGGCGACAACAGGAGCGGAGATAAATCGGTTGTTGCGGTCAGCTATCTCAACCATTTCGCCCCCCGAAGGTAATGGTTGTCGATTGTAGCGGCAGCGGGGTGCTTGTTGCTTGCCACGCGCAACTCAGCTTTGTCTCGGCGGTCGGGAATCGAGGGCCGTCGAGGCTAGGATTTTATTCCGATGGTACGAGCCTGACGGTGAAGGTTGTTAGGGTTTTACTTCTCGATATCGATGGAGGGAGCTGTTGGTCCAAGGAAACTTGGGGTCTGGAGATGCAACGCTAACCTCACGCGGGGGAGGGAATGGCGGGAACAGAACAAACTGAACACACCGTCATGGGATCTGCAATCCAGGTAACCAGATAACAATGCCGCTAGCCGCTAAAATTCAGCTCCTTTGAGCTTCTGAATACAGAATTGGTTTCTAAATTCCAGCCCGAAGCCTAATAAAAGCAGCGAAGATGCCGGAGACGTGCCGGGGCTCGAAGGGAAGTCAGTAACCACACGAGCCACACTGCAGCGCTCTCTCAAGTTGTTCGAAGGACTCCACGACCCGCAAGTTTGAGCCAACCGGAGAAGCAGCCTCAAGCTTAGCTCGTCGGGTTGTGGAACAGGGATGGCACAGGCCCTGTGCCCTTCTGCCGCCGCAAGCAAGGGTTGCGCTGCTGTGGGCTTGGGATGGAAGCTTGGGCTTGGCCTTAACCACGGCCTGGGATAAAAGTCAAAGTTGCCAAACACAGGTATCTGCTAAGTTTTCGAGGAGGTGTGTCGGGTCGGTAAGGCAGAAATATGCCGAATGTTCCGAAAATATCAATAATAACAAGAGACAAAGGCCGGTTAATATTGCCAGAACCAGAGCCCAAAGGCCGGAGGGACGTCGTAGGTTACGTTGTTCAAGAGCTTGGTTGCTTGGCCGGCGATGCCACAAGCCTGATAGAACGGCAGAAATTCAACACAGCAACCGAAAAGTTGAGGGGGCTACGGAATCCACTCCTATTGAGCACGGTAGGACGGCTCCGGCAGTTCTTATGCAGGAAGCCGCGAGCCTGCCCACGCACTCGCTTCGGCCTGGAGGCACAGGCACCCAAACCGGCAACGCAAGCTTCCAGAAAGGCGACACACAAGCCGGAGACTGACGAATCATTGCAGTCGCCCTGGGCCCACTCCGGTGGAATCGCACCAACCGGTTCAGTGCCGTTGAACCCGAGACCAGAACATTGAACATTAAGAACACCATGAATCCATCCCCCGTCATCCATCTTGGTAGAAAATGAAATCCCGAACTTGGATCTGCACTCCAGTATGAAGGGAGTAGTCCAAAACTAAAACTACTAAAATAGGAATGCGAGCCTGGATTTAGCGCCCTCTCAACCCGAAGTGGCAGGTTACTGCGTAATCAGATCCATGGTGGAAGCTGCAGGTTACTAGCTAGGTATTCGTAGGACGTTGATACACTCTTTCTCACGCCTTGTTGAGGTAAATTTCGACCATGGATCATGCGGTTCTATCGTGATGGACCACTGAGATACGAAAGTCAAAATCATAATACAAAAAGGGTTGGCAACCGAACTGCTAAAGCTTTTCCATCCACCGAGTCACTAAAGTCACGTAACTCAAACAGCAAATGTTGCAGAGAGCTGGGCTGAACTTCTCGTGCGTGGTGGTTTGATATGCCAGCAAAGAACTTGAACCGCGACGAACGGCTGATGGGACAGCCCAGTCTAACCCCACGGTGGTGACAATGATCACGATTCACGGAGGGTTCGGACTCATCATGACAGGAACAAAATGTTCGGTTTATGCTTGGAAAATTTGAAGCGGAACAAGCTTGCTCGATGAAACACGAGCAAGTACTAGCCCATAACGACGCGAAACGATTTCTGTCACAGTATATAGGGTGCCCCTCGCCTTTGTAGAGCAAGGATGTCCTTTTGCTCAGTGTAACAATTCCACTGTTAAACTACATGGTACGATTGCCCCAAGGTATCTACGATAGGTTGATCGATGGCTCTTCTTTGAGCTTGAGGCAGTGCCATACCATGTGAAGTTGAAAAAGGGTGCCAGCGGGGACATTTGGTTACAGAACTACCTGTCGTCCAGAATGAACCGTCAAGGCAACCGACTCCCTCGCTGAGCGAATCACGATCTAAGAGGTACGCAAAACATTTACAACTATGTTTGTCACAGGTTCCACTCACAATAATGATGGGAGCCATCATTTGGTAGTTAAGAAAAAGGCCAACTACTTTCTTGTTGTCCCCACCTAACAAAAAGAGGACTTCAAAAGTTGTGGATACACCCGGGATCGAACCGGGGACCTTTCACAGGGCGCTTGAGAAAGCTCAATGCGAAGCGAAAATCATACCACTAGACCATGTACCCAACCATTGAAAGATCAATAACGAACAAGGTCCATATGAATTTACCCCCAGGGCCCAACTTCCCCTCGGCTCCCTTCCCCCCCGCTCCCTTCCCACCCACACCCACAACACCCACACCCACAACACCCACACCCACAACACCCACACCCATACAATCCACCTCCCCTTTAAACCCCCTTACAAACAGCCTCCAACCGCCACCCATCCGGATCAACCACAAACGCCGCAAAATAGCTCGCCCCATAGTGCCGCCTTACCCCGGGCAGGCCGTTGTCGGCCCCACCCGCCGCCGTCGCCTGCGCGTGGAACTCCACCACCGCCATGCGGCTGGGCGCGTCAAACGCCAGGTGGAAGCCGGGACCCGGCGGGGCCGCGTCGGCGCCGAACTCGAAGATGTTGAGGATCTCGTGGTCGCTGTCGCGGCCGTAGCCGAGGGTGCGGACTTTTTTGGTGGGAGGCGGGGTGATGTCGGTGAGTGTGGTGGTGGTGGTGGTGGTGGTGTTGGATGGGGGTGAGGTGGTGGCTTCGCTGTCGTAGACGAGCTTGAGGCCGAGGGGCGCAAGGGCTGCCGTGTAGAAGGCTTTGGAGACGGTGTAGTCTCGCACGCCGATCGAGATGTGTCCGAGAGGGCTGTGTTGGGCCATGGTAGGGTGGCTGGAGCGGGTGTATATTGTTGTGTATGAGGGAGGGCGTTGATGCGTGCGAGGGTTGAAATGGCGATTAAACCCCGTGGTAAGAGCTCGAATTTCAAAGTGTGGGATGAGCCAATGACGGAGGGCTGGATGGAGCGGGTGGTGCTGACATGCATGCTTGACTTCCATTCAAGACAGTTTGCAAATAATTATGGACCAGATCCATGATCTCTATCTGTCCACAAAGAATGAATGCAAGGTACGACACTGAGTCATGTTCTAGATCTCCTTTCCCGTCGTGGAATTGGTTCATTGGTACCTAACAAAGTGGCTTGAAATGGCAGCAAGATTTGGGCCTGGAAAGGGTGGTGCCATGGACAGTTAGAGTGTGCACCAGCCATACAGTATCTGCAGAGGGGCTCATGAACTGGGAAAGGCTGCCCAACAGAACGGCCATTACACAATGTGCTGCCCAGTTATATAATTCCAAATGCATTTGTTTCCGGCGGCCCCTACGAGCCGCTGCCAATGAAGACTAAATTTCCTTTCGAAGAAAATAACTAGCAGCAGTACCAGCATTGTAAAGCGTCGGGAACATAAGGTACCGTGACGTACACAAATAGCCAACACTTTGACGTATGAAGACTTCTTGTTGGTATTATCAAGGAATATACCCACAAAATGACTACGAAAGAATTGGATGTCTTGAAGACATTCCTTGTGTGCTAAATATGGAAGAGAACACATCCACGTACTATGCCATCTGTCTCACTTGTACTATGACCCCACTAAATCCGCTAATATAACCGTAACCTTTTGTCAATGCCGTGAAAGCCTTGCCAGGTGCCAATACACGGAAGCCCTGTAATTGCAGCCGCATTTCACTGCGCATTCAGCCCCCAACCCCAACACATTCGCGGCATCCAGCCAAGCCACCGCATCACCACCACCAACCGCAACAAAACAACCAAGATGTCGGCTGAGTAGGCTGCAACTACCCTCATTCGAATCGCCTGCTAATTCTGCGTAGATTGACGTCGTCCGCGTCCGAATCGGACGCCTCTAGCACTTAGCGCGGCTTCTCAGATCCCGATTCCGATGTCGATGCTGTCAATGGCGATGCACTTCCGTTCTCGAACCCTCCACCGCACCACAAGCTCAATACTCACGGCTATGACTCGCTGGAGGGCCGACCCGCCGACTGTAGTTTAATTGTTTTTATTGCGAAAACGGGTTATTTGGCTTATTTGCGCTGGTGTGCGTGGATTCTGTTACGTGGGCTTGGTATTGTTGATGTCCTGGCACCTGGCAGCATTGAAAGAAAGTTCCAGATGTCACAGGGTTAGGGTTATATTAGCGGATTTAGTGGGGTCATAGCACAAGTGAGACAGATGGCATAGTACGTGGATGTGTTCTCATATGGAAACTTGAACCGCCATGAGCTACATGTATCCAATATCCGAGTCTCGGGCTTGATTCTGTCTGGAAGGCAGCCTTCTCCGAGTCTCGGACTTCATTCTGTCAGGCAGCATTTTAAACCATGCTTTTTGCCTGGGATGCACATGCCTAAATTAAGAAAATAGATCTTCTTGCCAAGAATACCAGGTCCCGTTCCGTTCGGGTTCGCACAAGAAACGTGCGGCACAGCCCCTGGCGTCGGACGCTTCAGAAATTGATCCGAATATCTGACGGATCAATCTCACGGGAAGCCGTGAACTCGCGCCGGTGATATCGAAGCGGGAGAAAGTTCACTTTATGACTACACCGCAGTTGATGATAATGTTTCACCGTGTTGTCATTTGACGAAAAGCTCAAAGGTTGTGACACTTAACAAGGCCACGGTGCCGTCAAAGTGATGGGTGCCCCTATCTAGGTACCTAGAAAAAAGACGTCCACACTGCTGCAAGGTGGAAGGTTTTCGTAAAAGTGCTTGATGAAAGTAGAATCTGAATTGGATAGACCTAGTTCAATTCTCTTGGCAAACGGGCAAGCTGCTGGGTATAGGCCCAAACCAGGTACCTGGTAGGCTACCTGCTAAGCAGCTTCGCAGTGAGGATGCCTGGGGGCATGTTGATCCCCTCGGATCTGCCGCCTCACCCCTGCGGCCGTGAATATACCAAAACAGACGTTTCAAACTCCATGACATGAGGTTTTCGCTTATCGAGTCCGCGCGGCCATGTCCAATGGCTGGAATGTGTCCGACGAGATGTGCTTGGTTAGGTAGGTAACTGAAGCCATGGGCAGATCCCTTCCCCCGTTTACTATATAAGGGACCATCTCCCCTCTGCTTGATGACCTCGTTTCTTTCTTCATCCGACATCACTAGCAATCATTTCTCTAAAGCTTTCAACACTCCAACACAACCACTTTCCCATCAACCTTTTTTTGCACTCGCCACAATGCCTACCAAGTGAGTCCTGGCCACAGCCCGCTTTTGCTCCGGATGTACCGGGAAATACCTTGAATCATGCTAACTTGTTCCTCCAGCACCGCACCTATCCGCGTGAACGCCTACCGCGATGGCCGCTCCGTCGACTTTCTGACCAGCTACGGCGCTTCTGGAAACATCAGCGGGGCTGCGGCGACCGAGGTCGCCTTCACCTCTCCGGCCCCGGTCAAGACCATAGTGCGCTGCTTTGCCGAAAAGGACCTCAAGGGTCACGAGTACAGCCACAACGTCCCGGCCAACGGCGGTAAAACTAAGGTCAACGTTGGGGCGTTCAAGAGCTGGAAGCTTGAGAAGAACCCTTACTAAACCGGGTGTATCTTTTCTGGGTTCGAAGCTGCAGGGCAGTTATGGCATTGGCGGTAGCAGGACGCTTTGGAAGCTGGTTTGGTAGACAAGATGCTGGTCATCAATAGAGGGCAGTGCGCTGTTAGGGTTGAGCCGGCCATGCTTGGTCGTCCGATGCTAGGGCAAATATACTCTCTTACCTCACGCTATGATAACCAGTGATGTCGATGTGACCTCGAGCATTCTACAATGGCTGTTGTCAAGTAGCTTACAAACTTGAAGGATCTAAATTTTAGGAACCGGCATAAAAAGTCCGAGGCTGATGTGTAGATATGATTCGTGGTCTGGACACATGTCACGCATCCATGTACAGGCTGTGGGATGCGGCACGGTTCCAATTGGTTTCAAATTCAAGGCATCGGTGGTAGTGGGAGCGGCGCAACCAGTGAGGTACCTAGGTAGTTTATCGGCGACCGGGCTCTGAAACCACTGTTCGCCTGATGTTGTAGAAAAGAGAGAATATTATTATTATTATTATTTCCTACACCGATATGCCCTGGGGCGCGCCGGTCCTTCTACTGCTATTTACAAAGGAAACCGTACCGTATAGGCCGGATAAAAACCTCTGTCTACCACTTTGAGACAACAATCTATGAATCCGTCATACTGCAAAAGAAAGGAGGCCCTTTGCCGGCCTCCGGGCCCTCTAGCCCTCCCCATCCACTGTTTCTAGCTCCAGCCTTCTGGCCAGGCTATACTCCAGTAGCCGGCCAGAGTCCATCAGCCAGCCAAGGACTTTCCTAACAAATATTCTGCTCCGGGCACCTACTCCCCGTAATACGGTTTGTAGGTCCCGATGTGACCGAATCTCTCTGCCGTCCCACGGCCTTTGTAACGGCGGGTAAAGAGAGAATATGGGCCGCCTAAGAACCTGAAAAGGCCGCTGCTTGTCGCGGCTAGTAACCTGGAATCTGATTACGAATGCTTATGAATCCCCTAGCCCTAGGGATATAGGACCGGTTCTGGAAGCCATGCTGTTATCTTCTGCGCTCCTAGTGAAGAATATCATCCCCTCAAAATCCAGTGGGCACCTGCCGCACCTCTAGAACCCCATCATATCGCCCAACGACTCTCCCATCCATGCCTTCTCAGTGACCCGCGCCCTCAATATCCTTCCGCATTGACCGCCACTCATCGATCCTTCGTAGGAAGCCTCAGTCCCTCCTTTCTGGGCTTGGTGGAGGGGGCGGGGGAGGCGAAGGAGGAGGTGAGGGGGTCCTCGGTCGCGGTGCAGGCCGGGGCCGGAGGGGCCCGGGTCGAGGCGGAGGATTGCCCGTCATTTTGGAGGATTGAAGAAAGAAGGGCTGCCGTCGCGTTTTGAAGAGTTCTCGTAAAGGCCTTTGAGGGCTCCGGAAGAGGGTGCCGGTAATGAGTTGTAGCAATGGTTTTTTGTATGAGAACCGCTTTGGATGTCTCGAGTTATTATTGATGCGAGTCATTGAATGCGTTCGTGGGCATGGGCAAGATGTCATTATATACCCGCATGGTGTTGGCCTTTGCCATATCACGATAGCTTCATATGCTCCACGTCGAGCCTCGTTAACTCTGCTTTCATGACTGCCACGAGGCCACCATTTTGCGAAAATTTGAACAGGATTAAACGGCGACTACCTAGGTGGCCGGGCACCAAGGTAGTACAGTTCTGCTTATTAGATGACGCGTGGCAGAGATCGTAAACTATAGTTATTCTCCAACCCTAACCGCTGACGTGGCATCACTGTAAGAAGGACAGTTCTTTTCAAACTATCCCATGTATAAGAGGGTTTGGCTTTGAAGATGTGAATCTATATAGTCACCTCTAGTCAGCTTAAAACCTATGTTGACCTGTTTCATCCTTCTTATGATAATATCTCATATTGATCCCTCTATGATCCGCAACAATGCTCCAAAAGTCTTCTTAGTGTAGAAATGGGGTCTCTTGACCCTGTGGATTAGAAGTCGTTTCTCCACATCAATATCCTTTGAACCCCGTCTCAATCCCGTCTACACCTTTCCTTGTCACATGCTGTCATTATACTCCCTTCCATCACGCTGGCCACCCAATTCCGTACCTGAAGAATCCAGCAATTCATGCTCACCCCCCGATTTAGCCTTCCAGTGGCGTGGCCAAGTCCTTGGGAAACTGCTCTCTGGTCCCTTAAGCACCTTGCTAGGGTGCACGGCATTGATGAGGAGAAGGGCAATGAGCATAGGCAGGGCATCGAGACCCAGCTGATAAGCCTCGTTGGCCAAAATGGGATTCGATGAAGAGACTCCACCGCTGAACTCGACAAAACGGAAAACAATGCGAACCTGCCAACACAGATGTTAGTGAGCACTCCTTATCTCGGTAGCCAATGTGTGGAACACTTACCACAATTAGCCCAATGACAGTCAGCATGAACCACACCAAGTGCCTGGTCACGGTGAGGTTGTGCCTTGGCTCTAACAGTCCAGCTCCCATCAAGCGTTCCAAGCGCAGGGTAAACAGCCCCGTAATGGCTGCAAAAATAACGACGAAGGCTAGCTGGACACCGATGCCAGCCATGTAAATCCGCTGCCCTGTCTGGACCGTGTCCCCTCCATCTTGGCCGGCAAGCATGCCGCCGCCAGCCGCTTGGATAAAGAAAGATAGCACATCAACAGCAACAAAGGCCTTGGCGAGCCAACGCGGCGATAGTCCGAGTATTCTTTGCGAGTTCGAGGGGAGGAGGAAATGGATCAGCCGTGCCACGACCATGTAAACAAACGCGTTGATCCCTAGACAGAAGGGTCAGTCATCCATATCCCGTATAGGTAGTAGTCACACAGAAAAAAAGAAAAAAAAACATTAACAGCAAGCAAAACAACAGAGACAGATAGGCACCAATAGAAAAGAAACCACCGGAAAAAAAAAAGAAAAGAAAAGAAAGAAAAAAAAAAAAACACTCACACAACGGCGCCAACAAAAACAACACCGTCCCCCCCACCACCAACCCCCCATTCTGCTGATCGAACGCGCCCAGCGTACGCAACATGAAGCACGCATATTCCCACAGCGCGCCCATCACCAGCACCCCGCAGAACCACTTGCGCGACGCCAGCATCTGGGCGATGTGCAGCAGGGACGCGAGAAAGAAGCCGATCGTGAAGACTAGATTCCATTCCCAGCTCGGGTAGAAGCCGTAGTGGGCGTTGCAGGCCGTGGGCGGCACGTAGCCGCGGTGGTCCGGGATGGCGGTGGTGCATTTGGGGGGGGAGGGGATGGTGGGGGTGGGGGTGAGAGTGGTCATTGTTGTTGGGATTGTTGAGCTTGGGGGTTGGGGGTTGGGATGGAGTGTGTCTAGTTCTGGGGGCTAAGATGGTTGAGGGTTTTGCGGGGAGGTTGTGGTGGTGGCTATGGGTTGAGTTGCGGTCCCAGGGGATGTGTATTGTCGTGTGCCGGCTGCTGAGTGTCGACTCCTTGACAAGACAACAACATGACGGTTGAGTGGTGATATAGGTGCGGGGGATGGAGGCATGATGGCGGCAGATGTTGGCTCTTATGCCGGCGGTTGGAAACAACAAGAGGAGTGTCTTCCATCGTGGCTGGCCTTTCTTGGCTCGCGTTATCGTTTTCACGGGAGACGGTGACGCGGCAAGGGGCAGATTGGCTTTCGAAGTGAGCGGGAACCAAGCTGAGAGTACCCGGCGCCGAAAGGGGGACTGGTAGCGTCGATGTGGCCCCCGTCTCTCTGTTGAAAAGCCGTGAGTCGTGATTGGCCGAGCCGTCGTTTTGGTCGGCCCGGCAGTCTCAGGGGGGATCACCGCGGTACAAAGTCAGCCGCATTGCCCCCCTTGGTGGGTTTCCCTCCCCCTCGGCACGGCCGTTTGTTTCCCTCGCACCTTCAAACCTTCTGGGGCAGCTCCGTACCTAGCCTCGCCATCCCGAGAGGCCACAAAACATAGCGTTTGTGGCTCCTTGGCAAGCTACACGCAGCCGTTTCAACCCATTGGAAGATAATCTCGTCTCGGACGGGCAGGGAGGTCCGAGCTGGACCAAGCGAGTGGCGATGCAAAACATGGGTGAGCATCCAAAAATGCACCAGCAAGACCTGGGCCGTAAAGTTGGTGGGATTTGTAAAGTTGTTGAACTCCTCGGTGTCCATGTCGTTAGTTACGGCGTAGAAGGGCACGAGCTCGAGGCATGCTAGGAGTGTGTCAACAACGACGATCCCGCAAGATATTGAGTCTGCAACTTACCGTCGACGGGCGACACCTCACCCACCCGCGCGATTCTCTCCAAAGAAGCCACATAATGAAGTTCCGCTGCGCTTCGGCACTGTGGTGCGATCAGACGCAGTGAAGCTATAAAGTCCCGGAGCGTCTGCTGCAGCTCCTTTTGTTCGCTCTCGTCAAGATCCTCTGCCGCCCCCAATAGTTTCCCCATGCTATTAACATACGTCTCCTCCTTGATAGCGTGGAACATGGTTTCTCCCATAGCCGAAACCAGCGTCGTCTGGATGACCATCCAACCGCGGAGCATGCGGAAAAAGTCCATCATACCGTCAGGCATGTAACTCGACTGGAACGTAAGCGCAATGGCGGCGGCGAACCTTGCGTCGGCGTCGCTCCGTGAAAGGCAAGGTTTCGAAAGCGCCTCGTTCAAGGCGCCAATGGCCGACACCCTATGATCGAGAGCCTGGATGGAAAAGTCTGAGGTAGTACATGTGGTGAGATGCTGGGCGGCAAGGCCGATGATAGAATGGGCGAGAAAGTCGTACTCGTGCGCCATGGCGGCGACGGACTGCCAGATGTCGTCCAGGCCAAAAGGGAGAGAAGGATATGCCGCAGTCAAGAAGTGGTGGAAGAAGCGGAGGTCCTCCAAGCGAAAGGTGGATGGGCATGAGCTGGGGTTTCTTGACAGGCTGAGAGCTAGCTGTGGTGAAGGGGGGTACAGGCAGTCTAAACCAAGACGCCGACAGCCTCGACAACTTGGCAGCTCTTCTGAGCATTTGACGCGGCGCTTCTTGCAGCTGAAGCAGCCTTTCTTGGACTTGCGGTGACCACGCCCGGGGACCGGCCGTTTCCGTACAGGCTCCCGCTCGGCGGAGGAGGAGCTATCAGACGATGACGATGTCTCGCTGTTGGGCGAGTGAGAGGTTGGATTCGACATGACAGGTGTTGGCTCTCTCATCCTTCAAGCTTCTCTCTTGCCACATGCATCTCCGATCAGGGGAAGTCATCGCTTGTGTAATAAAAATCGGCTGTCAACCCCTAATTTTCCCTGAGCCCATGGGATCTTCCGTGATCTTCCTTGATTGGGTGCTGACGCGTCCGTTGAGGCTAAGCCAGACTGGGAGACGCGCACCTAGCTCCTGGTTTCGACTGCCAGCCGAACCCTTTTCAGTGCCTGGGTACCTAGTTATGTCCAAATAAAAGGGAGAAAAACACAGTTGAAATCCAACCTAACTCTTAAGATATCAAGACAAGGTAAACCAAGAATAGAAAGAAGATACCTTCAAACGCCAAATGGGGATAATCAATGCAAAATCCTCAATTGTCAACTAATAATATGTAGGGGCTTGTCAACAGCTGCCCTGGAGTCATGACTTTTGACCACCGAGGTTGGTTTGTGTCCCTGTCCCAATCCTTGTTGATAATATACAACCAGGTCAGGTACCTCGCGTGGGGAATGGCGTACCATCTTTGCCAAACAAATATCCCAAACTCACTCACAACCTCACTCTATGTATTCAGGGCTAGAACGTATCGTGCAACAAATCACACCTTGGCTGGCATCGACCAAGTCGAAGACATCTTGCCACAATTGGCTCGATCAAAGGCCGATGATTCAAACCATCAGTTCTGGAAAATGATAGTGATCGCGGCTCGAAGCATTCAACAGTGGATGGCTGGGTACTCGTCGTGGAACGAGGCGACGGCTGGCGGCCGTAAAATGCCTTGGCTTCCTACTACTGGGGAGCTCCAAGCACTAAAGTACCTCTCACCTAACAAGCTGGAACTGCCCATAACCATCCGATCACACCTTGCCCTCGCAAAGCTGGTCTAGAGTCTAGCATGCTACCGACGGAGAACAAGACGACGTCTGGAGAGGCGCTGACCTCAACAACACAGATTGTGTATGATAAACTATCAATTCCGAGGCCCCAATAGACTTGCGAATTCATCATTTATAGGGCTGCATATTTGATTAACCTCAATCTTTATCATTTCTCTTGTTTACTTTGGGGGCATCATTGAGGGACACATGTTGTAAACTTGTGGCTATGGACGAGATCAATTCCAAGAGAATGATTCCTGCCGAGGGCGTCCCTGTGCTTTTAGACGGCTACTGTCACAACTTTACATGCCTGTCATTTATTTGAAAATATATTCATTCCGCATGCTCATTATTTTTTGCAGAACAGGGGGTGATGGTGCACGGCTGAGATCCAATCAGAGCAGCATGACCTACATTTCTATCGCTTGTCTCCTTGATTTCCCTCGTGACTTTTCATCTCGAGGCAATTCACAGACGGAGCCCTCATACTCATATTTAGATGTCTGTCAAAACACCAAGGTAACCTTGAGAGCTCATAGCCACGGAAAAACCGATACCAAAACCAACATCACCTTCCCCACAAGCCGCTACCGCCACGGCACTGGGGAAGCGATGAGGGTTCAATGGTCACAGCGATGGATATAACACCCCGCCCCAATGTCAGTCTTGGAACTAAGTGCTGTCGTGTGTGGTCTTGCGGGATCATAGTTCAAGTCACGCTGTCTGATATCTCGCTCAGCATCCGTAAGGTTTGAGGAAACCATGGGGTAGCAGAGTGTCCCATGGTGTTGTGCCCCAGATGGACATGCAGGTTGAAATCGAATCCCACGCAAGAGCACAGTCACACCCGCCGTGAGGGCAGACCAGCAGCCATCGCGGCCGCACTTCTCTCTCTGTCAGGGCACAGGCCCCCCGTGGACGAAGCATTTTTCTGGATGCTAGCATCATTCCTTGCCACCATTCCTTTTCAATCAAAACCTTCCTCCCGCCTTCGCACTTTTCCCAAGCAACGGCGTCAACAACACCTTCGCCGTTGCCGTTCTCCCACAACCATTCCGACTTATGCTACCTCATTAAATGGCGCACCCTCCGCTGCACCCCCGGAGACTTCAGCGCCCGGACGCGCCTTCCGAGTCGAATACCCCGCAGTGAAGACCGCCGACGGGCGTTGGCAGTGGTGGAGGAGGGGGATGAGATCCCGCTGGATGAGGATTAGGGGGAGGAGGGTGATGGGGTGGATGAGGAAAATGAGTGATGATATGGACAATGTCTGTGGGGTTGAGATTTATGGGGATTAGATGATTGATGGAGGGGGACATCAAACGGGGGGAGACATCAGACAGAAAGACATCGACCAGACGGACATCAGCCAGGAGGACATTGACCAAGAAGATATCAAGAAAATGCGCTCCTTCTGAGTGGGGACTCCCTTCAACTGACCCTATATCATACGTATCCCCTCAGATATGTCTTTGGTGGTCGTTTCGTTAGGTAACCTTACCTGGAGCGGCCTGAGGGATGAAAATCAGGTCCCTTGACGAAACGCACGCGATAGAGAAAGTTGTGATTGGTGGTATCGGATTTACAATGTTGCTGTCTTCCTAATACTTTGCCTGCCATCTACCTGCCCTCTTCTGCTCAAGTCTAACCAGATTACCAAGCCGTTTAACTCCGTCAAGTTTAACTCCGGTAAGTCCATACACACCACCCCATCATCAGGAAAGTTCTGTGCAACACTTACAGCAGCGGTCAATGCGGAGGAGTATTTAGCGTTATAAATGGCTTTGGTATGTCTATCAAAGACATAAAGCAGTTCGGTCCATGGTCCCTCGGTTCCCACGCCTGAACAGCAATCCAGCCTCTAGAGTATCATTTCTCAACTTACATAACTCTGAGTACTCCGGCAAGTTTAGTTGAAAATGACGGCAACATCTCACCCAAAGTTTAACGCAAATACCGAGGCCTTGGATGTTGCTCAGGCATTCTCTAGGGCCATTCGGGGTAAGACGGCCATCGTCACTGGCGTGAATCTCGAAGGGATCGGTCATACAACCGCACAGGGTCTTGTAAGTCGTACCTGGCACTACCAGGCGGTGACTCCCATGCAGCTGACGGGCGCACTTACCAGGCATCTCAATCTCCCGCCCATCTCATCATCACGGGGCGCAACCTCTCAAAGCTGCAGCAGAGTATCGATGCGCTGAAAGCCGAATTCCCCCATGTCGACTACCGCATCCTCCAAATGGACCTCTCCAGCCAAGCCGCCGTCCGGGCCGCAGCCGCCGAGGTCCTCTCATGGACGGACGTCCCAACAATCGACATCGTCATCAACAGCGCCGGCGTAGCCCTCCTCCCAGAACGCACACTAAGCGAGGACGGCATCGAACTGACCTTCGCGACCAACCACATCGGGCACTTCCTCTTCACCTGCCTGATCATGCCCAAGCTCCTCCGCGCAGCCCAAACCAACCCCATCAAGGGCGCCACCCGCATCATCAACGTCAGCTCGGGCTCCCCGCACAGCGCGGGCATCCGATGGAGCGACATCAACTTCGACAAGCCGAGCACGGCCCTGCCCCTGGAGGAGCAGCCCAACTACGCCGTCCACGCGGCATGGAACATCCCCGACGCGGCGACCCGCTCCTACATTGGCCTGGAGGCGTACAACCAGAGTAAGGTGGCCAACGTGCTGTTCGGCATCGCGCTGACGCGGCGCCTGTACGAGAGGCACGGCATCCTGAGCCTGGCCGTGCATCCGGGGGTGATCAAGACGGAGCTGGTGCGGACGGCGGACCCGGAAATCATGCGGGCCATCGCGGCGATGGCGGATGGGGGCACGTTTCGGTATAAGACGCTTGGCGCGGGGTCCGCGACGAGTTTGGTGGCGGCGCTGGATCCGGGGTTGGGACCGGGGGAGTGGAGGGATGGGATGGAGAATTGGGGCGCGTTTTTGGGGGATTGTCAGATTGTGCATCCGCGTCATCCGCGTGCTGCGACGAGTGCCGAGGCAGAGAAGTTGTGGGAGTTGTCGGAGAAGTTGGTCAAGGAGAAGTTTGCATGGTAGCCTACTATGTATGGGACCCAGTATTAAGGGTATGAATCTACGATGGTGGAATGCGATTATCATGGTCATTGATTGGAGACCTTGTCGTCGAGGAAGATGGTGTTGCTGCAAACAAGTTCGTTCACTTGCCTCTCATGTCGCCCATGCGATGAAATGATGAAGGGTTAGGGTTGTGTAGATGCCAGCTAGAGACCACGTGACCACCAGCCCACCATCTCCCCACCATCTCCCCACTGATCATCTGGCCGCGCACTGTGCCTCGTTCAACACGCGACACGATCACCTCTGCTCGACTGGTCATCATGAGGCCACGAAACTGGCCTCATCCCCTCACGTATTGGAAATTCCAAGAAGCTCGCCGATGATTGAAGCCTGGCGTATACTTCTCCGAATAAGCGGACATTCAAACGAGTCATTATCCCGACCCGACGCCGGTCATCAAATTTTCCGTGGCTGTGCATTTCCGAGATCCGAGCAGTTACGTGTCGAGACACGCACACGTTTCCAACTAATTTGCCCCAGGCTTGCGGTATCTCCCGATTACAATGCATTTGAAACGACCAGCTTGGAGTGGATGCCCTTTCCGGCCCGACTCGATAACATCGACGGGAGGGGTTCCCCAATATTTGCACAACCAAGGGTGGTTTCAACCCGACGCTCTGGCAGCCAGTCATTCCTGTGCCACCTCGGCCCAACAAACCAACCATCGTCGCAAGCTGACCCGGTCACAAAGCCGCCTTGGGCTTGAAGTGTTGGTTTTGCGTAGCAACATGCGACAATCATGGAGTGTTTGGCAGCATGTGGCTTGAGTCAACACCACAGCCGGGCAAGCCGAGGCTTTGTTCCCAAGCCGCGGGGTAGCAGAGCGAGATATGGGTTGTGAGTCTTTGGTGCCTGCTTTCCCGAAACGGAAACTCCTTTGCATAAGAGCTGCGGTAACACGACGGCGCAGCATCTGCCTCGGAGTCAACCTGCATCAGCACCTGTAAATCCGGGGAAAGCCTCCCGCAATAAGCTGCTGACTGCATCCGCCCAATGTTCCCCTGATGAACCTCTGCAAACTTATCATCAGTCAACATGCGCAGCCACGTCTCACTCATCGCTTCTTACTCCAGATCCGGCGGGGAGCCTAAATAGAAAATGCGCCATCATGCAGGAAGCGCGCGGGGCTAACTCAACCCCCGGCAGGTCAGCCCATGCCTGTAACAAATGTTGTGTAATACAGCCCTGTACTGTGTAATCCCGTCTGAACCCCTCCCGGGCCCCGGCCCGGCCCCGGACCCACGCCCGGACCAGCCATCTCCACTCCCGGAGCCGGCCATCTCATCCCAATCACCAACCCTCCCCCTCGCTCCTGTGTAACGCACAACACCGGCCGCATGACGCGACCCTCCCGTCCGGCCGGCTTTGGGGGAGGCCGGCCCAAACCCGGCCAGCCAATCCGACGCCCATCACGGCCCATCACAGCACATCACCGTCGCCGATGATACCTCCCCCTCTCTATCCCGCGTAAAAAATGACCCTCCCCCCGCTCCCGAAAAAGAACAACACGAAACCTGATAACCCGGCCCGACCCATCAACAGGCCAGGCACCGGTGAGTCCAAGACGCAACACGAAGCGGTGGCGAAAAAAAGTAAACAAGACCGACCCCGAACCGACCGACCCCACCACCCCCTACCCTTGTTTATCTGCTGCGTCTTGTCCTGCGAAGCGGTGAGCAGCGCGAAGAACGCTCAAGCGGGTCCCACCGGCCGGCCGACAAACCCCCAACCCCTCATCCATCCTCAGCATGATGACATGATTTCCCCCTGCTCAACCTGTGTGTCGTGGTCAATTGACGATGGATGTTCCCGTGAGAAATGACGCATGAAACGTGGCGGGCGGGGAGTCGACCACCTTTTTTTTTTTTTGCTGTCCCCCCCCAAACCCCCCTGCCTATTCGTCCTGCCCCCCAACTTTGGGATGCGTTGGGCGGGGGATCGGGTATCGAGGAGGGATGGGGAAGCGAGACGAGAATGCATCGGGATCGGGGCTGTCGTGTCGTGCGTGGGAAGGGGAGCCCCTTCGCGTGGTTGCTAGGCTGCTATACTATGCACGATGAACCTGAAAGGCGCGTGGCGTTGGAGTGTAAGCGTGGCGGACAGACGCGTCAGGGAGTTTTGTTGAGCCATCGCCACCACCACCACGCGATGTCCGATGTCGGTGGTGGATGGCGGAGGAGCGAGTCAGTGAGTGTGCGATGGAAGGCAAGGAAAGAAGCATGTCACTGGGCAAGGGTGAGGAAGAGTAAGATGAGTGAGGTATCTCCATGATCATTGATGGTCATTACACTATTACAATGCTGCCGTCCCTCCCTCTCATGCTGTCATCATGAGGAAGCCAAGTGATTAACCCCCCCTCATCCCAACCCAATGGTATGTATGATGATGCTGAATATACCCATAACGCCCGAGATCCAACTGCCCTTCTCGCATGCTTTCCCAGATCTATCTCAGATCAACGTATTCCAATGCACCGCCCGTGTAGTATAGCCATAGCATAGCCATCTCGCTTTTCCAAGCAGAAGCGTTGCCGCCACAAAACAAAGAAAAAGAAGAACACCACCAACTCCGGCTCGAGGTGCTGAGCAAAGCGGCATTCAACCAGGAACACAACAAGCCCGCCCACACCCGAATGCAAAGCCCATCTGTAAAGCCAAAAAAACACCCGCTCATTCCATCATGATTCATCCTCCTCTTTCCCAGTCCTAACTCTCCAGCTCCTTAGCGGGCAGTCCCAAACACCCTTCCAAACACCCCCCGAATCTTCTTCCCCGCCACGCCGCCACCACCAACCCGCCCGCTCTCCTCCAAACTCCTCAACTCCTCGGCACTAATCTCATACGGCAGCATCTGCTGCTTGGCCGGCTTCGCCGCGCGGAGATAGACCGCATCCTTCTCGGGTACGCTCGGCCGCCCATACACATCCAAGTCATCTTCGGCATCCACCACCTCGACATCAACATCCTCATCGCCATGTGCGCCATCACCGCCGATGTTGACGGGCGACTCAAACACATACGGCTGGTGGGCCGAAGTGATGTCGGCCTCGCTGAGCGGGGTGGTGGCGCGCGAGGAGGTAGACTCGGAGTAGGACGAGCCGCTGCTGGAGTAGAGGCCTGGCGGGGAGACGGCGCGGCTGCTGCTGCTGCTGGCGCTGGCGCCGCGGGAGTGGGAGCTGCCACGCGAGGAGGACGGGCTGGCGTAGTCCGGTTGGGCGTAGGGCTCCTCTGGTTGTTGGGGGTGTTGGGGCACGGCGAGGGAGCGCCAAAGGCGGGCCTCCTCCTCGCGCTCGCGCTGGCGGGCGAGGCGCTCTTCCTGCAGGTAGCGCTCGCGGGTCTCGAGCTCGTGCTTGCGCATGATGCGGCGCACGTGGCGGTCCTGGACGGCGTCGCGGATGGGGGCCAGGAAGTGGTCGAGCTCGCGGTAGAGGTCGTCCTCGGTGATGCGGAGATCCCAGTCGAGGAGGAAGAGGAGCTGCTTCTCCATTAGGTTGACTTCGGTGCGGCTGAAGCCGAAGTTGTAGGCCGATGTCGACACGAAGCTGTAGTTGGCCCAGTGCTTGTTCTTGGGGCTGCAGTCGTTGAGGTACTTGGCCGAGAGGATGAGAGCGGCCAGGAAGATGCGGTGCGTGGTGCAGCGCAGGCCCTTGGCCATGGGCTGCAGGCGCGACTTGAGGCGGCGCAGGTAGACCAGCGACGACATGAGCGTTGGTACTTGCACGTTAGAAGAGATGACCAGCTGTGTGATAAACTCTTCGATGCTGGGGAGACGGGCGTCGCTGTCCTTGACCGCCCTCGCTGACGGTTCCTGCGAGGTGGTCCTCGACCGGGATTGTGCCGGCGGTGGCATCATGCTGGTATCGCACTGAATCACGTTGGCGGCGGCGTCTGCCAAGTACAGAATCATATCTGTGTCGACGGGTTGGTAGACAAACTTGTCCAGGGCTTTGGCGTTGAGCTCAGCCATGCTGAGCATCGGTACTGAGTCCATGGCGTCGAGTGTTGTGGTCGTGTGAGGGTGGGGTGAGTGGGGGTCGTCGACGGTGTCGATGTTTATTGAGTGTGGTTGTTGTTGTTGTTGTTATGTGAGTGCGACCGGGGGTGGAAGTCCTCTATGGTTGGATTGACAAGTGCCTGACTTGACTCTCTCTTACACTGGGGTAGTGTATTTGTGGTGTGTGTTTGTGTATGCTGTATAAGAGAAAAGGGATCAAGGTCGGATTGGGGATGACGGAATGCCCAGGTGTTATAGGGAAAGCCGTCGAAAGGGGTACGAGTGGAGTGTGGAGTGGCAGAAAAGATGTGCACAGGGGGGGTGTGTGCTTCAACCGTTGACGAGCTTACACGAAATGTCCTGCGGCGAAGCTCATGTGGACAATCCAGTGTAAAATACCGGGGCGGTGGCCGAATCGGCGGGCTCGGCAGTGGACGGAAAGGCTGAACAGGACAGGTTTGTTGCAGCGTGGGTCTCTTGATGGGCGTCCTCTGCGGGCGGAGTGGGCAGACCTTGTTGATGCGTGTCTCAGTGGCTTGCAAGCCAAAAAGCGACGTGCTGTGTCCACGAGGCTGAGTGCGACAGGCGTTCCAGGGGGTGGTCACCCAGGCGGACAGGGATGTGGAAGGGTACAGGGGTTGCGCGGTCAATCTGGCAGTGTTGGGGGGTGGCCCGCTGTGTCGGCCGCTGGTCGGGGTTGCGCGATCAGCGAGTCCAGGCTTTTTTGGCGAGTTCTGGCTGCAAGCGTGCCAAGACCGGTCTGGCCAATCGTGGTGAGGATGCCGAAGAATTTGAACGGACAACTCCGGCCGAGACTTGGAAATGCCTTGGAATGCCTCGGGCAAAAAACAAAGTTGGTGGGCGAATTACACAGGAGTGTAGCTGCAAAAAAGTTTGCGCTCTTGCGGCGATTCCAAGTTAAAACAGGAGAGTGCCAAAGTGCGCAAGTGAGCTGCGTTCTACCCAGGTTCCCCACACGACAGGGGCTGCCAAAGGGACCGGAAAACGATAGCGCAACTGACAGCTGGGACGGGGTCGTGGCGATCCCGGGAAAAGCGGGTCGAGTGCTCCGAGTCTGGGGTGACGCGGACAGACGGGCCTCGGAGGTGGCTGAAGGGTAGCAGACGCGAGGATCACAGAGTGAATCACGCTGAGAACGACAGCGATATGACTCGGTCTGGTTGCAGAGCTGGTAGAGTTGCGGAGTCGGTCGTGTTTCGAACACGAAGGCCGGCCTGTGCTTGACGGTGTAATTAAACGTTTGTGATGCGATCCCGGGGAAGCGGCGGGCAAGATCGACTGCCGATTCCGGGTACGAGCGAGTCAGTGCTAAAGTTGGAGCTAGCGGATTCTGGTCTGTGCACTTTTTGCCAGGTCCGGATCGTCGTGGAGTCGCAAGAGAGTCGTGGAGGTCGGGATTGGTAGGTGTTGATTAAGGTTACAATAATGGTCCGAGCCAGCGGAAGAGAAGTGTCGCCAAAGGAAGACTTGCACGAAAAAAGAAATCGGCGCTGCCGTAGTCCAAGTTGCAATGACCGCGACTCGTCAAGGTATTTTTGATCCGGGCTTCGAGGGCTCCGGATGGGTTAATATGGCAGAAAGATGCGGGACCGCGGTAAAGGTGGCCGGGGGTCTCAGTCGCGCGCCAAAGTGAAAAGCGACGTCAGGCTTGGAGCTGCGTCGCGCCGTTTGAGAAGCCCAGCGTGTTCGAGGAGTCGCCCAGTGTAACTGTTAGTCGGCGTCTGTGGAATGATTCGCTCTCCTGCTGCAGCGGCAAACGGGGGGCGAAGCGGGGAGTGGGGCGTCTTCCAAACGACAGTAAAAAAAAGCGACAACGCTGGACGAATGGCTTGGGGATGTTGGCTGTCCAATGAGCCGGTTCGATATCGTGAGTTGTCGACGGACTGGAAACGGGCTACTGCAATCCAAAATGGTGGGGTTCAGGTAGGTTGATTTGCAGGCGGTGAGTCCCTAAATCGTTGTTCTAAGAAGCTTCGAACGGTGACGGTGTTGAGGCGGTCTGCGCAAACCAAAGAAGCGGCTTGTCGTCAAATTTTGTACACCGTCTGGCAGAGTCCCTTGGCTTAGACGTGTCTAGCTCGACGAGGGAGGGCGAAACTCGAGCTGGCAACTTCCTGGAAGAAAGGGAGGATCAAGGGAGATGTCGAGCGTGGCGGTCGGTCAAATTTTGTTCGACTTTTGCCCCTTTCCTGGGCATGGAGCCAAATTGATCGAGGGGGTTCGTGTAAGTGTGTCAGAGATAAACGGAGCACGGAGAGTCGTCCCAAGGGAGGTCGGGTGTTGCCGAGTTTGGCAGGCGGATTGTACCAGGGCAACTCCTACTAAAACATTGGAACAACTGGATTGCAAATTCCACAAGGTCAAAAGAGAACGGGGATCATATGCATCGGAAGCATGTGCCTTAATCATGATCATCGTGACCTATGCGCATGGAGTTGCACTCAACGTGGCCGTCTGCCAGCACACAAAGACCCCGACGCATCCCAACCCTCATGCTGCAATGCTGGGCAATTAGACATCAATTCCCAGCCCGAGTCGCATTTTCCGCCCTACGATCGCTTGTGCCGCCCTGATTTGAATGGGCGCCGATTTGCATTTCGGGCCCAATGCAGCACCCAAGGGGTGCATAACACGGTTGATGAATGGTTGTCAACTCCGCATGCGAGAATTTTGAGTGCCAGCGGCCGAGCAACCGATGGCTGCGATTGGCGGGTGCCCACCCCGGCGTTGGGATTTGAAACAAGCGAGGGGTTGTGTTTTGTAAACGCAGTTCAACGCCAGAAACGGGATCGAGGGGTTATCGATCCGGAATGCAGGCCGGCGGTCATGTCAGGCCTGGAATCCCTGGTTCCCTGTGGGCTCTGTTTTCTTTTGGAATATGGAATTGTTCCATGAACCCTCGCGATGCAGTTTCAGTTCACACCAGACAGGAACATCACAGCCTAAGTATTGCTTTGGCGCACAAATACCTACAAATGCAGACTCAAACCCAATCAACCCCGCCGCATCGAAGTACGAAAAGTGGCCCTGTCAACGGCCAATACCAGATAACTACGAAGTAGAGAGATCGCCTTCAAATTTGTTTCCATGAGGCAAAATTCAGGGGACTTGAGTCTCGCGCACGTTCCTCCTCGAAACTCAACCCCTGGGGCAAGAGCCAAGACCCACCACGCAGGGGGGCTACCACATGGCGACGAAACGAAACGCACGAGACGATGCTGACAGCGGGGGGAGTTGAAACAATCGGCTACGCGAACCTGATCTTGCAGAAATCCGGAATCAGGAAGGATGAGGTCTCTGACTCTGCTCGCGAGAGCCGCGAATATTATTAGGTAGTGGATGGAGAGATGACCCTGATCAAGAAGCTGTCCTAGGTCATGTGCGGTTGCGGAGGGCCTCGTGCTTGTGAAAGACCCCATGAGCTCGATTGACACTCAAGACAGCAGGCTTGGTCAATCACGGCAACAGAAGCAAGGTGATCATCAACCTCGCCTCCCGCCCCTCCGTGGGTTACCAGACGAAGTTGGAGTCGCCACGGTGCTCCGGAGGAGCTTCGAGAGTTTGGTGGGTGGCTGTTTGTCTTAACTGCCAAGCCCTTGACAGCAGCGAACCAGATGTCCACGGCAACTGCCTAGGTGTTTCAAGTGACTGCGTCTCCCCGGCTCTATCACATTGCCATACATCAATACCATACATGCGTATTACAACTAGACTACGGAGTATGAGGATGGAAATGAAGTCTGGGTCTAGGATACCGAAATAGGAAATGGCGGTGTTGAGAAGCAAATGTTCCCACAGGTGTGGCAACATCTGTCTCCTACCCCTCAATGCAGTTCTCCTGAACCGTGCATGTGTGGTTAGCGGCCGATGGCTCTAAACCATCACGGTCCGTGAGCGGTGAGAAGGATGAACGGCACAGAAAACTTCTGTGTAGTCACCAATAACCCCTCATTACCCCGCGCCGCACCGCGACCGCCTTCTTCTTCTGGCCCACACTCTCGCACTCTTGAAATCTCGAAACCGACTCACCGCCCATTTTCCGAATCCCATCCTCCTTAGGTCTTGGCGGTAGAAGTCCGGACAAGATCCCGAAGACCGCCGAGACGGCAGGGTCGCCCGCATCCTTTCCGAATCCGGCCGTGCCCACCACCGGCCGTCGGCGTGGCTCGAGCCTGGCCAGAGCGCCAGCCCCACGGAAGGCCCGCCGCGGCTCGTGATTGGGCCGCTGCATGTCTTGGACGGAAACTTGCTTTGGCGGACCAATTGCGATACGAGGAGGTGGTCTCGACCAGTCGGAGACAGCCTTCGCTGCTCGCGCGCTCGCGTCGCTGTCAGGAGGGTGTTGAACGGCCTGCCCGTGGGTGAAGCGAGCACTGCCGCTGCATGTCGCACGCAACCTTCTGATCGCTCGTGGGTTTGGTGGGTTGACGGGGTCTTGTTGATGCCGAGCAGGGATGATTTGGGCTTCTGTTTAATTGAGATAGCCCTGACGGCAGTGGCTTGCGTTCATGCAGGTGGATAATAATCTGCGCTAACAGATGATGGCGACATCAGCAGCCAGAACTGTTAAGAATAGACCCTGAGACTTGGCGTTGAACAGGGGCACAGCTCGGCAGTGGCTGATAGATGCGTCATCGCTCATCAGCTCCCTCCCAAACACCATGCTTTCAAATCATGAAAGCGCAACCCAACCAAGCCAAGCAAGGTGGCCAACGTGCCAGCCACCTTCTCCTGGCTGAAGAGTGGAACTGCCGCGTAATTGACTCGCCCTTCTCGCCGGCCATCAATTTTCTTGAGGCAAATACGTGTTTGTCAACCGGGTATGATAGCGTCACCCGCTCATTAATTCAAGCTGCGCCGAAGGAAAACCCGGGGAGCATTCCGGTGCGCCTCATCGTTCCCATCCACCAAGCGTCCCATCGTGGCCGGCGCAGTTTTGTCAATGCGGCGGCGAGTACGAACCGAGTCCGGTGCCGCGTCTGGTGCAACAACACATTTCACAGCTACCCCGGTCAGCCCAAGTGCTCGCCGCACACGCCTTCGTTCGGCAAATTCCCCGCGTCAGACGGGCCAGGCCCGCGGTCGTGCTACCGAGGCCCGTCTATCAGATGATGATGAAAGACTGGGACGGCCTGAAAGCGTGACCCTCTTGAGACAATTGGCTCACGAGTTTTCCATCATATCTGGATTCAACAATCGAGGGTTAGCTGGGGTGCCGAAAATGGACCTGAAACAAAATTTCGGTCCTCTACGAAGTAGGAATACCGTTTATCACTCGCTCATCACTCATCAAACCGTCGCAGGAAGGGCGAAACGGAGTTACGGGACCCTGCAACCAACCACGCGCCGACCGAAGCTCCGCCTTCTCAGGACCTGCAGCCGTTTCGCAAGACATCCAATGGCCAAAGTCAGGGTCAACATCGTCATTTCATTCATCCAGGTCGGCCGCAGCTGCAAGCGCAAGCGCTCACCCTTAACGCCGGGAAGCAAACAGCGGGAAGACCAGCGCTTAGCATCCTCCCGAGCTCAGCTCTAGACCGGAGGCATCCTCTCGCCCCCAACAGCTTGGGCCTCCCGCCAGAGAGGTTGAGTTTCTCTTCCCGAGCAATCCCATTGGCCGACGTAGCCGCAGACGCGCGCATTGCTAAATTTGACCGGCATTCAGCCCTGTGATTGGATCGACATGATCGATCTCCCGATCCAGTAGCGCCAGATTCCCCGATCGGGACCCTTCGTGCAGCGGCTGCTGAACCAGCCGAATGCAAGACTCCCTCCCCGGCTCGGCAGCCCGCATCATCCAAAACAAAGTTTTGCTGCGGCCGCGGGTACGCCGCATCGCGGCTGTCTGGCCCTATGGAGAGTCCGGGAGACGAGGACGGTGCCACAGCCCTGCGGGGTTGAAACGGCGAGGTTAAGCTTGTATCCGCCTCGTCGTCCCCCCTTGTTTCTTCGGACTGGAGGCGCGGAACCGTTGAGTTCGAGGTCGGCCAAAATAGAACGGGAGATTGGATCGGCCGGAGAGGTAGCATTGTCGGGTGCGCCTGAAACCTTATTTGGCCTTGTCTGTCTGCTCGACCGCAACATGTTACCGAACCGAGATGATTGTCGGCGAAGCAGGCCGATCCAACGTGCAGTTCGCCGTTGGAGGACGGGGGCCGAATCCAGACGTCCGGCGGCTCATGTTACAAATCCGGGCAATCACGGTTGACTCTCGGACTCTGAGTTGCGACATCACCAACACGGCTCGCAGAATAGCCACAGCGCGTAGACGGGGATGCAGCAGAGTCGTAAACCCCAGGCCCGAATTAGACACCCCAGAATAGGTAGCCACGTCGGGGCCAGTTGGTGATAGCAAACCCCGACCAAAACAACGTTCCTACCTACTGTGCAATCCGCACCACCAACCTCTCACCAAGCCACCCGCCCACTCATCGCAACATAAACCCCAAAGACCCTACCCGCCCCCGACCACTGTACTGCAGCACCCCCACCCCGGTGAGATGAAAGCCCCAGCGCGGCGTGAGCGCCGGCACAACAACTTGTCTACGCCCCCCTCCCACCTAGGTAGGTAGGTGCCCGCCGTCCAAACTCAAAATGTGCCAAAATCTGAACCCGGCGGCGTGGGCAGGGCAGGGTAGGTAGGTATGTCTGCTGCTGAACCACAACCGTGCATGTGCATGGCATGGCATGGCATGGTATGGCGTGGCATGGTATCTGGGAGCCGCAACGCCGCCCAGCGCCCGCTCAGCTCGCGTTGCCTGGCCGTAGGTTTGCATTTCACCGCCACTGTGGATGTGTAGATGTTGCGCGCTTTATGTCTGGTGATTATTCATCTAGTATTTAGGTGTTGAGGGGGTGGCTGGTGGTGTAGCAGGTTAGGGGCGAAGGAGGTCCGTTTGGGGGGTGGGGGAGTCGAGGGTCCGGTGGTTGGTGGTTGTGTGTATGTACAGCGTTGGAGGGAGAAGGTAGTTGCCGTTGCCGTTGCCGTTGCCGTTGTTGTCAGAGGTAAGATTCATGTCTTGAACCATTGTAGACCCCCGCCCCCTTTTTCACTTGGCCGCAGGGTGAAGGCGGCCGGGTTAGAATGGTTGGGGAGGGAAAAGGATGGCTGGGAAGTTTAGGCAGAGGGACAAGAGCACCGAGTGGTAAAAGCCGTGCCAAGTTTTAATGCTAAGACAGAGGCTAGGAAAAGCGGTTTTGAGGCTTCTACTTCATAGTGTTAGCCGGCTAGTTTTACCCCTTCTCGTGACAGTTTGGTACCTGTCGGACTCGGGGCAGGAGAGGTGGTGTTCTTCAGCAATTCCTCCAAGCAAAGTACTCCGGCCACAAGTATCGAGCAGGAGACACGGGCATGATAAATAAAGCAAGCCTGAGATTGACAAATCATCAATTCGGGCCTGCGGACGGCCTTTTCGCTACTCCCTACATAATAAGCCGCGCCCCGAGAATAACAAAAGGAAAAGAAGCCCTTTCCATTCCTTCTTGAACAACAGGCTGAAACGGCTGGAGCCTGATTGTAGGGTTGATCTGCAATGTATCGACCCCTGTGATGCAAATGTAGTCAAGTCCCCCGAGCCATCAGCCCCTATCCTCTCTCTCCAGCAACCCGTTCCCTTTTCTCGACATGCCATCCAGGCCATTGCATGCCACTATCCCTCTGTGCAAATCCTACTCGGTGCTCCCACTGCTTCAACACTGCCCTAAAACTCCCGTCGTGAACGAAATGCTCCCAGTCGTAGACGACTATCCTGAACGCAAGGCGTTATGTATACTTCGGGTAATGGTCGGTTGTCAGAGGAACGCGGCGGGTTAGTCACGACGCTTGCTATTTCGGCCGAGCTTTCTCCTGGTTGCCCGGGAGAGGCAGCACCCGCTGCCGGTTAGTGGGGTGAACCGTCTTAGTGCTCATGGACGCCGTCTCCCGGTCCTAGTGGTGACTGCTGCCATACTGCGTGCGTGTGTGGTTCTCGAGGTCTTCAAAGTATGGGTGGTTGCAGGCCTGCTTCGCCGAAATGCGACCGGCAGGATCGTAGACAAGCATCATCTCGAGGAGGTCAAGGCCTGCGTCGTCCAGGTTGGTGCAGAGTGCTGCCGTGGGGTCGCGCGCCCACTTGGGGAAGGAAGCCTTGAAGTCGGGGTAGCTGGTCACGCCGGGCCAGATATCCTCGGTGGGGGTTCCAAGAAGGCTACAGACGCAAAAGTTAGCCCGGGTGGCAGGTCTTGGAACGAAAGACGTACCGGAAGATCTTGAAGATCTCATCAATTTCCGAGTCGCCGGGGAAGAGCGGCTTGCGCGTGCACATCTCGGCGAAAATGCACCCGACCGACCACATATCCACTCCGGTCGAGTATTGGCGGCCACCGAGCAATATCTCGGGGGCACGGTACCAGAGTGTGACGACCTCGTGGGTGTAGGTGCGGAGAGGGACGCCAAAAGCGCGAGCCAGTCCAAAATCGGCCAACTTCAGGTTTCCCTCACGGTCGATAAGCAAGTTCTGGGGCTTGAGATCGCGGTGCAGGACACGGTGGCTATGGCAGTAGCGCACACCCGTGCACAGCTGGCTCATGAACTTCTTGACCATGCCCTCTCCTAGTCCCAGCCCGTGCAATTGGGCTCCGGTGCCCTCGGGCAGTGCCTTGCCTCGGCCGCCCTCGCTGACAGGTAGCGCTTCCATGTACTTCTTCAGGTCGAGGTCGAGGAATTCGAAGACGAGATAGAGTTTGTGACCGTCGGCATGGACGATATTAAAGAGACGCACGATGGTCGGGTCACGCATCTCTTTGAGCAGCGAGATTTCTCGGATGGCGGTCGATGGGACGCCTTCATCCTCGGCCTCCAGCCGAATCTTCTTCAAGGCGACGATGCGGCCGCCATTGTTGAGGTCGCGAGCTTTGTAAACAACGCCATAGGTACCTAGGAGCCGCGTACGAAGTCAGTGTCCAGCACGGCGCCAGCAGGGAAGGGAAGCGACCGCGGCACACCTTCGCCGACTTTTTCGAGCTTCTGGTAGTTTTCCATGGTTATTACTCGTTACCGTGGATTTCTGGACACGAATCGAACGGTCGGTCAAAGTCCAACCTCGAGACTGGGGGGGTGGCCGGGGTGTGGGAATGTCGTGGCTGACCAGGGATGGTGGTGGGGGTTTTGCGGCTGAAGAGAAACGAGGGGCAACAGGCTCCAGGGAGGAAAACAAATAGTGCCCAACGAGTTGGGAAAGAAAATCGAGAAGAGGACAAGAAAAGTCGTCAAATGCGCTTCGCCATGAAGAGGCACTTACTGTGCATAGGTAGCCGGGAGCCGTCGAAAGGGTTGGCTGCGGGAAGTTGCGCTCACGGAGGTCGAGGGAAAGAAAGCAGCAGTCAAATTTCCGGGGTTGGTCAACAAATGGAATTTGTTTGCTGTGTGGTCACTGGGCGACGCGAAGAGCGCGTCGAGGTTGGCGTCGCTGGATCAAGGAGCCCCGCTTTATTTCAGCGCCGCTTGAGGGCTCTCCAGCTGGCAACGGCGGGGCACACAAGGCCTCGACCCCGCGACACTTTGCAGGGCATTCAAGAACTTTCAGTTGTTTCGGATGACAGATACATACGAATACACACGGTCGCCTTAAACTTGAATTTTGGCCTTCCCTTAGTCAGCCACAACCTCTTTCGTCATCTTATACACAGGATAGTTACCTATTTTGACCCCTGAGTCTGGCCAGAACCTACCCGAGGAATTAAGTTGTTCAAGTCAACGCCAGAATGACAGTGGACATCAAGCATCTCGATGCTCATGAGCAGCCCTCAGATGAGCTCAGAGCCAAGTGGAAGGTCTTTGCGAAAACAGAACCGAAAGACCTACGCAGCGAAGACATCGATGATTTACAAAACCCAGAGAGTGCAGCCGAATTCTGCCTGGCGGGTACCCTTCCCGTTGACACGCTGAACCGCTCATTCCGTCAAATCTGCCCCGACGACGACTCCGAGTTCCAAGCCACCAAGGACGCTCCGATATACTATCATCCACTCTTACCAGGTGAGTCCGGGATATATCCTTCGCGCCTACCCAGAAACACCAAGCTAACCCTCCTCAGGCCTCCTCATCGTCCCCTCTCTAATCCCCCCCTCGGTCCAAAAAACTCTCCTCTCCCACCTCATCCACCGCGACCTCAGCAACCCCATCCACCAAACCAACCTCCACCTACACTACGATCTCCCCTACCCAGCACCCCCCTTCCCCACCACCACCACCACCTCCTCCTCCTTCTTCACCTACCCCCCCACCAGCCCACCCACCTTCACCCCCAAAGACCCCACCATCCACAAACCCCTGACCATCAAACAAGTCCTCGACCGCCGCCTGCACTGGGTGACCCTCGGCGGGCAATACGACTGGACGAACCGAGTCTACCCCGACGAGGACGGCTCGCCCTCGTCTTCGCCGCCGGCCTTCCCGCGCGACGTGGCCGCCTTCCTCGAGACGCTGTTCCCCGACACGCGAGCCCAGGCCGCCATCGTGAACTTGTATACCCCGGGGGATACGATGATGATGCATCGTGATGTGTCGGAGGAGTCGAGTCGCGGGTTGGTTAGTGTGAGTTTGGGCTGTGAGGGGCTGTTTATGATCGCGCCGAATGGGGGGGTGGCAGAGGAGGAGGGGGGTGGTGGTGAGGAGGAGGGGGGTAAGCGGGAGAAGGAGTTTTTGTTGTTGAGGCTGCGATCGGGGGATGCGATATACATGACTGAGGAGTCGAGGTTTGCCTGGCATGGTGTGCCTAAGGTGTTGAAGGGGACGTGTCCGGAGTACTTGGAGGAGTGGGCCCGCGGAGGGGGGCGAGTTTGAGGAGTGGAGGGGGTGGATGCGGAATAAGAGGATCAACCTCAACGTGAGGCAGATGCGGGATTAGGGTGGGCAAGTGGGAGACAACAATATACAGTGGTGGAGTTAGAAGGTGGTAGAACAGCCGGATTGCTCAGTGAGAGTGGTCCAGTCTCCAGACTACCAGTCTTCACCTGCATCACACATATTTTACACAGAACGACATTGGGAAGAAACTTTCGACAAAGCCTTAGGACCTGGCGAGGGTTTGGGGGTGTAATTACAGTGGTATCTCACTTTATCCCCTGTACGCCCGGATAGGTCTGGACCCCTACCTAGTTTGATCTACAACCTAAATCCGGCACTTTCTTCTGGCACCGGGTGTTGACCCCCTTCTCCCCTTATCCTCCATTACCACTCTCGACCTGGAAGGCCTTAGATACTTGCGTTCTCCCGGAGTCGGGCAGCCGACTCGGCGGTTGAACCGTGGTGGTATGCCCATACCAGCGCACCCACAAGGTACGCCATTCCATTACGCACCATCCCTAGGGCCTCGAATGTCGTCGAGAAGTGCATGGCCCGTCTCGGTTTTGGTCCACGAGTCCAGCGGTGGGAACCCTAGAACCCAGAAGCCTGGACAGCTCGCCGGGGATCAAGTGATTCCGGAGCCTTGCTGGGTCGTGCCCGCCGATGTCGTTTTGCCCAGTCCGGCCCCCAGCCGTCGACCGTTTCAAGGCCGAGGCTTACGAAGACGCTAACCAAATAGTCAAGGCTCAACCAAGGTTGAGCGTCAACTATAAAACAACACAGCGATCAACGCAAAGCGACGTCCGCCGAGGTTGTCTCAGCACCGTCATGGTGATAAAAGGGAGCCCGCGGGGCGAGGCCAGGTGAAGACAAGGAGGACGGCGACGGCGACGAGCAACACGGCGACGGGTACGTGGAGAGCGCGAGGCGCGGCTACGTCGTCCGGTCCGATGGGCCCTCGGTGGCTGAGCGTGGCGGGCTGGAAGAGCGACGGGGAAGAGCGACGGGTAAGTGCCGTCAAGCAGGAGCTAGTAACCCGCGTTTTTCTCAACAACAATACGAAAATGCGACTGCGCGCCCCCATCCCCGGCCCCTTCATCCCGGCCGCATCAACATCCACACCATCAGCAACCACTCTAACAGCCCATCCACCGTCTCTGACCACTACGGCAACAGCCACTGCCTGCAACAGGCAGCGCCTCACCGCTACCTTACACTCCATACCCCACCATGCCTCCGCCTCTACTCATGTCTCTCTTTCTCAGAGACACAGACGCAAATCTGCGCTACAGTCTCTATCTACAGCTCGTGGAGAAAGGAGAGAGGCGGGC